ATGTCATAATTTCCTCTGCTGCTCCAGGTTCGAACTGCGATCCCCGGACCCCCGTCCGGTACGCCAATTATTTGTCATGTTGGACTGCGATGTCATTGAGCAAGTTGTTAAACCATCAAGTTTGATTTTTTTACTTTTCATGTCCAACCTCAAAGTACCTGGAAAACTGACTCAATTAAAGAACAGGTTGGTGAAAAGTGCACCCGAGAGAGACGACGATTGCTTCATGGACATTGAGAAAAGAGCCCACGAGCTGTTGCAGCATGTTCATCCAAGACAAGTGGGTCCAAGCGAAAGCAAGAAGAATCGCTATTGGACCAACTTGCTGAGAGTATTTTGGATAAGTTAGTGCTGACGAGTAAGGATTCATCCTTGCGAGCGGAGCTTCTGTCACGCTCTCTTCGCGTCTTAGTCGCCATGCTAACGACGCGTAGGTGTCCTTCATTGACATCGTGTATCGTGATGGTACTCAGTCGTGGTGCAGTCGACACCATGTACCGTCCGGTACTAAGCTTTCGTGCGGCACCAACCGCAAGGTTGCCATGTTTGGCGGCAGCAGCTTCTGCTGTGCTGTCGTCTGAGCTGAGTCATGCCCAGTGCTCGCATCATGCACGACGCATGTGCAAGCACAGTGTAAAGCGCCACGGGCCCGTACACCAGATACGCTGCGTACGACATGTACCACATCTGTCAGAAGTGTTCAGTGCACTTCATGTGGGTCATGTACAACGAGTTCATTACGCGGAACATCCGGCGGGTTGCTTGGCAGCAGCCAGTGCCGGTGGACGGTACGTATTTAGAGCAGCATCGGGTCGTGGTATGGGCATATCCTTTGCACTCAACGCACGCAGCCGTAGCTGGTGCCGCGCCGAGCGTGGCACCGTGGTGATGGCTGCTTGCCTCACCATGGTTAAGTACTCAGTGTCAATGCCAGACATCAGCGCCGCAGTGGCATGGTAATGAGATAAGCCCCACCACGGTCGAGTACCATCAAGCTACATGGTGTCTATACCTCGACCACCTGGTCCGTTGTGTGCGCACTCATGCACCACACTTGGGTTATGGCTCCACGACCCATTATACCCGGCGCGTCGCGTACATCACGAACCACAACCGCTTTGTCGGCGGGTGAAGCGCTCCGTTCACTCTACTCGACAGGTCGTTCATGACCAAGGGACCTGTGCGGTGATTGCACTAGGTCCGCGCTTTGCCTCGTGAGTGGTTGCATGCACCACAGCACTGCTGATTCACTCAGCAATTCCGAGGCACCTAGCGCCAGCGGCTTCCGTCGCCAATCTGGCTTGTTTGGCTAAAACTACCGCAGCCGTAGCCCTACTGCTCGCCTTCAGCCTGCAGTCGATGTACATCGACGCCTGGTTCCGTAAAGAGCTTGATCTTACCTCAAGACCAGGGAGGTATTCCTGAGCCCCCCCCCACTTAATCTCGAGACTACTGCGTCTCTGGTGGTTTTAAATCACCACTGGCAGGCGCGACGGCTATCCGCCTCGTGCACTACGCTAGCATGAATGGCCGCGGCGGACGTGCGGACCGAAGGCATCCAGCCCGGTGCGGAGCTATGTTACCCGCCTTGGTTGCGGAACTCCGTTACCCACCTTGGGCGCCCAAATGTGTTACCCGCCTTGATGTGTGGAACTCTGTTACTTACACCGAGAGCGCATACAGCGACTTTCTTATCAGTTATGGTCTGAGTGACCTTGCGTGGAACTCTGTTACCCACCGAAAGTCGGTCTCCTGAAGCAGCTTCGCTGTTTGCGGAGCTTGCTAATCACAATGTAATTTATGTTACACCTGGTGAATGCCCCTCGGCACCACCACTGTCGAAGTGCGTACGGCGCGACGACCTTCGGCGACGGGTGCTGCTGGTGTAGCAGGTCCACACGCCGGGCAAAAGACCCATGTTAATGGCATTGCCGCAGCGGATCATGGTCATGCTGTACGCAGAGCTGTCGATGCGTTGACAGCTCCGTGATGCTTCTGAGTTCTGGCGGTCTGTATCAGACGCTTAAGTCATGACGGAGGTGGGATCATGACTCACCAATGCTCCGTCATAGACCTGGACTGTCAGGCCCTTCTCAGCCTTGCCACACCATAGTCAGGGATGCGTCTTACGTATGGCACAGCCATGTTTCTCATGGCGAGAGCTGCGAACAACACCGCCGTGCGCGAGTTGATCGAGCCCAAACGCTCAGGTCCGTCGAGGACCATTGGTACCTCCTTCACCGTATCAAAGGCTAGTCCACCAAGGACCGGCCCACGACCGCCACTCTGACAATAGAGTGCAGTCGGGTGTCACTATGCCAAGCGACGTTCCGGTGGCGTATCAACGCCCCAAAATTCATCATACACTCAAGGAATACTGTACCCCCGTAAACCGAGTGTACTACCAGCATCCCATCACTGCTCTTCACCGGTTTGGGAGAGCCACGTCTCTCTGGGCTAAGTCCTGTGATGCGCACAACCTGCTCGCCTATCACGAAGTCTTAGCGCTCTTCCGTAGAAATTACCGCCTCTACTGGTGGTCGAAGAGCCTTCGTCTACCTGACTGTGGCCTGCGCAACAGACCTGGGGTCCACGGGCTGTCTTCTTCCCGAGGACTGGTGAGGGGCGTACACGCTAGTAGTGTCCATGCCCGCCTCATCCGTAGCAGCAGACCATACTCTTGATCGAGATTAAGTCATGGGCTCGGTCTCGCTGTACGCACCTGTATCAACGTGCTGCGTGACAGCAGAAACATTAGCGTCATTGCTGCGATCCTCCGCCTCCCGAGGAGCGCCATCTTCCCCTTGGTGATGATCCTCTTCCCGAGGAACACCATCCTCACCCTGGCGCTGTTCCTCTTCCCGAGGAACCCCATCCTCACCGTGGCGATGTTCCTCTTGCCGAGGATTACCAGCCTGCTTGTACCTGTACTCTTCTTGGAGGGCGACTCGAATTGCCCCCTCCATAGTTGTCACTTGCACCCGGAATAGCTGGGTGCGAGCAGAACCGATCTTCAGGCCGTCCATGAAGACTATTGGCTTGATGTCTTCAAGCAGAGGATTCGCTGCCAGGGATGTCACCAACGTGCGCATCTCCTGTACGTACTCCTGCAGCTCACGTTTACTTTGCTAACACGCAAAAAAAGCGTGAGCGCTGGCGAAAATCGTTGCTCACCGATAGGAACGCGGATCGAAGCTGACCACACAGCTGAACCCAGGATGCAAAACATCCAGGAGATGTCGTTTCCTGGTGTATGCCCAGTTATTTGGCACGTTCACAAAGGTTGGACAGGGCAAAAGCCACCCAAAGTGGATCGTCCGAGATGAGACCAGCCTTTATGGCGATCTCATCCACCCCGACCCAGAAGTGAAGGCTCTCCCCTTCCTTCCCCTCAAATGCGGGGACCTTTAGCCATAGCGGCTTAGGCCTGGTTGCCTGGGGTGCGGTCATCGATGACTCCAAACTCCCGCGGACATGAGCGACGAGACCACGCTCGTAGATCTCAAACGCAGTCACGCGTTCGTATTGCTCGACAGGCGTCGTCGCCGCCAAGCTGCGAAAGACATCTTGTCCAAAGATGCCTCCCATCTTCCGAACAGGCCCGTACTGTGAGTCGTTTAAGCGAGTTAGCTCACTTCGGTCCATCGTGGCTCAAACGCTGAGCGCAGAGGATTCGGGTAGTTCAATCTACCCGCGAATGTGTAGGATTGACTAAGAGTGCTACCAAGTGTGACGGGGTCACACAGCACCTTGCACAGAGGAAATGCTTAGGGGTATTATCTACCCGAGTGAGCGCCAGTCCACGTGTTGCCGGCCTCAAAGGAAACGGTTTGCTAGTTAGAGGGGTAGATGTAAGAATGATGCATTTATAAGTAAGATTAGCTTGGGTTCCGTACAAACTAGAGGTTACCTTTCGTGGAGCTAAGTAGCCATTTCCTGGCGGGCTTCGAGAGCACCTGGTACCGTGTACCAGGTATCCGCAAGAGTGACAGGTCACTCTTTAAGTAACCTGGGGTACGCTGGACTGTACCCCGTTACAATAGAGCACTTCTGTAAAGTGATTCCTTCGGATAGAGGTATAAAGTGAGGATATCACTGCAAAGAGGATTGTAAGTCGCTTGATTTGGCATTAAACGTTTTTTTTACTTCGAAGTACAAATGAGACTGCGTCAAACAAAATGTTACTTACGAACCTTTGAGATAATCGAGCTTAAATTCGGCCAATTGGTTTTATAACTTAACCGAAACAGTGACATTAATTGTAAACTTTCATCGAAAACTGTAAAACCACCCTTATTCAATTGCTTTTAACAAGAGCTTTTAAATAACACTTAAATCTTTAAAATTGAAAAAATATTGAGCTCACAGCACTCCTAAATATATCGTCATTTCGAGGGCCCACAAATGAAAATAATATTTATGAGCGACCACAACTTCTTCAGTTTTAAGCATTCTGCAGCTTTTAAGGGCTCAAAAAGATAGAGGAGACGCCCCGCTTTCGTTTAGAGTGCTTAAATCGCGATTCGTACTTAGGTTCATAAGTAACATTTTGTTACGCAGTCTCAAATTATGTTTTTTTTTTTTTTTGTCCAAGTGCCAGCACGTGTTCTGAGTTTCAAACGCTGACAGCTGTGACAACCAAGATGCGCTCCAACAGAATCAAGATCAAGTCCGCTACGATATTCATAGCTTCTCATTGGATAGCTTCTTATTGAACTGGCGGTGACGCTTGGTATCCATAACGTGTGCATGTAAATTCGCTAAGCCGGCTGGTCCAACTTAGATGGACGGCCACAAAATTGAGTAGTAAAACTCAAAATGCGACCTTTCGCACTCTCTGCCGCTAGTCCGACCTGAATACGCCTCAAGATCGTCCAAGACTTCCGAGACGGGCAGAGGGGAAGGAGAAGAATCCAGCAGCACAGGGCTATCCGAGCAGGTCGCAGCGTCAGAAAGAGAAAAGAGAAACAAGTGAACAAGCTCCAACACTGAGTTGTACCATGGAGATGAAGCGCGTGGTGGCGCGCTTCATGGTGCACAAGGTGGGGAGCTTCGTGGTCAAAGAGCGCGTTCTGTGCTTCGGCGAGTATTCCTTCTCGACCGTGGATCGCGAGAACCAACAGGTGACCAACACGTGGCCTTATGAGGACGTGGACAGCGCCAACGTGCTGGAAGGAGAGACCGATTTCGTCATCCACACGCCACGCCACCGCATTAAGAAGACCGTGTACCGCTGCCACTTCCGCATGGAGGTGCTGGTGTGTCTGATGCGACTGCGTAGTCAGCACTACGCCAAGATGCCCGACGCGCCTCAGCCGCCCCCTGCGGAGCTGCAGACGCTGACGTTCCAGAGTCTCAAATGCCACAAGGGCGGCGTACACTCGACCTGCGTCGTAGAGATCCGTCCGGACGGTATTTACCAGCGAGATACCGAGGGAGACATCATGAGCCACATTTCGTACACGAGTCTCGTGTCCATCGACCTCATCTGCGACGATCATGAAGCTATTGGCTTAAATCACTCGGATAATTCCAGTTTATTCATCGTACCAAGACGCACAGAGCTCGCGCAAGCTATAAATCGAGTCATGAAGGCGTACGGGATGCAGATCAATGAATACCGCAAGAAAACAATGGAAGCGGCGCTGAAAGACGACGGGAAGGCGTCGTTTAGCACTAGCGTGTCATTTGCGTATCAAGTTTTGAAGGTTTCCCAGTCCAACGAGTCCACTGCCGCGCCACGGACGCTTTTGGTGTCGGAGAAGTTCATTACGGAGTATGCAGACGCCAAGACGGTGATTTCCAGTCGTCCCTTGGCCAGAATCTACACGTTGGTCATGTATCAGGACACGTTACAAGCGTTCGAAGTCGTGTATGTGGACGGCGTCAAGCGCAAGTATTACTCCGCTCAACGAGAGAAGATCGTGTGTGAATTACTAGCTTCCTGCCACGCTCTGGGGAATTATCAGGTGGGTGTGGAGATGACGGAGATCGCCGACTCTGTGCGCATGATACCGCGCAGGATCATCCTCCAGGAAGGCAACAAGATCGTGAATACTGTGTCTAATGTCAACGTGATGGACCGTGAGCTCCGAGTCGCTCAAGCGAATGTGCTGCAGCTACTGGCGGTACATGGATATCGCAAGACGGCGCGCACTCAACGTCAACTTCCTCGTGGACTTGACGAAGAGATGCATTTATTGGCTCTGGAACTTAATGCGAATACACCGACGTCCGGTGTGATAGCGCAGCCCAACAAACCGTTCGATAAGGTGGTCTACGTGCTGGCACGAGAGCTTCATGACATTGTTGGTCGACATGGAGCCACACACGACTTTGTGAGCACATACCTGCAGTCGCTCTATCGTTTGACGCTCGCTCCACCTGCTATCAACGAGTTCATGAAGATCCTGACAGAGGTACAGTGTTTTCTGTCCAGCTGAAAAATGCTCCTGAGATGCTAATTCTGACTGTCTCTTGTCTAGCGTGGAGAGGAATATATCGGCTTGATCTCGAAAGTTCTGATGAGCAAGAACTCGGTGGCTATCTACTGGATGTTCATGGTGCTGAGTCGACTGATGGAGTCAAAGGCGCACAAGCTGCAGTGTCGACAGCTGCTGCTATCCAACAGTGTCTTCATGATGACGCTGCTTTCATTACTGGACGAAGATACCCATGTACGACCCGCAATTGATTGGTTATATTGTTGTTTTTGTGTCTTAAAGTGCGTGGGCGTGTGCTGTGTAGACGGGTGCGTTCTTGTCGGATCTACCGACGATGAAGCTGTGTCAGTTTATTCTGCTACTGGTCAAGGCGAACGTCGAGAAGCAGCGGAAACTCTCCGAGACATTATACCAACATCTAGCCACAAAGTATCGTATGATGCTTCGAGTTCTCTTCAGCTTCCCTGGCTTAGCTACAGTGGAGGCGTGTGTGGGGATTCTCAGCAGGATGACGAAGAACCCAGCGTTCCTGCACTTTGGCAACATGGGGTCTCCCTTACGGTCCAACGATGGGAAAATTCCGAGACGATCGCTCAGTTTTGGCGAGACTTTGAACTTTGGTCCAGCAAGTCAACGTGGAGCGTCAACGGATATTCGATCTCGTCCCGCATTGTACTCTTCTAGACGAAACAACTGCGCATCTGGTCGGAACAACACGTTGTCGTCGTCAGAATCGAATTCCAGTGGCGCTTCAGGTCTTCCAGCGAACGTGGTGGTCGTTCAGAACCCGGAAGTGCTGCTGAGGCAGTATCGACAGTTCCTCGAAGCAGCCTGTGGCTCACTTAAGATGGGGATCGATCAGTACGACGACCCGGTTTTCTTGCGGCTTCGCTACAGATGTCGAAACGTGTTCCTGCAGGAACTCATGAGTCATTTGGTGGGGAATTTCGAGGAGTTCAAGCGCGTGTATAGTGTGGATTGCTGTCAGTTCAGCGGCTTTATCGGCACAGCGGATGGACAACGAGAGAAGACCAAGTTTTATCTGACCCCGCGAGCGCTGATCGCTGTTCGGATCTTGACGAAACATACTCATGAGCTCGAGTTCCGCGCGATCGACGAGATCACTCAAGCGACGACCATCCCAGATGCGTTTATCCTCATGTTGAAGAACAAACTCAAGTTCATTTACTCGGACCAAAGCAGCGAAATCGTCGAGAAAATGAAATCTTTGGCTGGAGTTATTGGGATCCATCTTCGCTTCAAGACTCGAGACAAACTTCCAAAGCAGCAAGCGGAAAAGCCTCTGGATCAATCAGCTTTCCAGTCGAATGATCTGTTCGATGTCCAGAGACGCACAGGTCGACATGGATCTACTCATTTACGGAAGAAAAAGCTTTGCTTTGTGGACGGAACGATTGAAGAGTTCACGAATTGCTCCAAGAAGACCTATGAGCTCAAGAATCTTCGTCGTGTAGTGGTTCCTGGACTGGAAAGTGATGAAACACAAGCTGTGGTGGCGTTGGAGTTCTCGGACAGCAGTCGTGTGGCCTATGTGCCGTACGAAATGGAGAAGTTCCTGGCAGCGTTGTATGATGGTTATCGCTATGTGGACAATTACGACGTTTCGCTAAGTCGAGAGTTCTCCAACCTAAACCCAAGAATGTCTCCTAGAGCGCTGCTGAAGGACGAGCATGAACGCTTTCTCTATCTTAATCACGATGGACTCTACATTCCAGCCCATGCAGTACTGGAGAAGGAGATTGAAATGATGAGTGGGGAAGGCGTGAGTATCACATCTGCCACTAACAAGGTCGCGTTCGCTCTCGACAGCTTAAATATGAATGTCGAGGTCGAGGACTTTGCGGGGAAATCTATGCGTGGTCGCTTGGAGAAGCTGTCGTTCAGCTATCTGCTTCGAGGGATCCACAACTTGGTACGACAAACGTGCACTCTTTAGTATGTGTGGGGCGACTAACACTTGTTATGCAATTGCTTGTACGTTTGAAATAGCTCGAGCATTCCTGCAAGCCACCAATTCGTGCGAATGAGATTTGTGTTATCCTGGAAACATTCTGCAGAATCAATGACGGCTGTTATCGGATATCGATGGAGCAAGCTAACGGCGGGGCGATGGTAGTGGTTCCGATTCTGGCTCAAATATTGGTCTCTGGAGATCCGATAGCCACTGTGTGGGCTGTGAACGCTTTCCACTCGTTAATCGCTGACAAATCGCGGTCGAATTCGCATCGAGCTGCTGAAAAGGCGATTCGCTTTCAAGTGTTTGAGCATACGAAGCTCATTTCCCTGCTCACTGGCCTTCTGGAACAACGGAACCCGATCTCCACTTTGGTCATGCTGCAACTGGTTCTGGACGTCCTGGTGGTGTCTCGGCACAGCACAGACAACAACCACTTTGATGCTATCGTGAAAGATCTCGGCGGGAAGTATACGCTGTTGCTGGAGCTGGCAGCTCAAAACGTGAGCGCAGGCTTGGCTGCAGCGGTGATTTGTGTCTTGAAAGTGATTGTTGACCACGGAGATCATAAAGTACGACGACGTATTTGCGACTATGCGCTGGACTCGGGGCTTACTCTGAAACACCTGCACAAGGCGTTCTTCCACCCGTCCGACAACGCGAAGGAGACGTATCAATACGTCGCCAGTATCTGGGTGACGCATCACAAGGCTTCTCATGAAATGCTGGTGCGGATCCTTCCGCATGGGTTCATCCGCATGATTTCGAGCCCGATGGTGCGTAAATTGCTGAAGAAACAACGAGCTCGACAGACTGAGTCTGTGCGACGGAAGACCAAGCATCAATTACTGAGCCAAGGGGACGGATCCGAGTGGTTTATTCGTCGCATGCAGCTCCAGATCGGCACGCTGTTTGCTAGTGGCTCGGTCAAAGAAGCTCGAGTCAAGGAGGACTCGACGCGTATGAATTATCCCGGCGAGTCATCGACGGATATGGCGTTACTGTCGAGTATGGTGAGCAAGGACTTTATGCTGCCAGACTTGCTGTGGCACGAAGCCACTCGAAACGAATTGAAAGCTGCTCTCACGTCTGCGATCCAGGAATTCGATCAGTTCAAAGCGAACCAAGCAGCTGCGTTGTCGCTGCTGGTTTCTCGGAAAGAAAGCAAAGAACCGAAGTGGAATCACGTGCAGTTCTCGGTTCGATACGAGAGTATTGCGCAGGAGCTTCAAGTCGACCGATTCTATCTACGCGTGATCACGGAAAGGATAAACGATGGGTCGTTGCAGCTGGCTGAAGTCGCCAAGATTGCTCGGGCGTTGGAGGCTGGAACACATCGAGGCAAGCTGAAAAACTCGAGCAGTCTCTTCTTTGCCAGCATGGACATTGCCAAGGACCCGGCTAAGTTTTTCAGTGAAGTGTATCAGTGCTGGCTGGAGCATCTTCATCTGAACAATATTCCGTTGTCAGGGACGAACGATTGGTCTGCGAGTGGCAGCAATGGGTTCCCTCAGTTCACTGGTGCTACTGGAAGCGAGCAACACGGCCATTCGATGCTGAAGATCTTGATCGAACTCGCCAACGTGTTCCCGGAAGCTCGGTCGATTACGAAACATCGCGCTCGATTTCTCACCGAGTTATTGCGTAATTCGTACCTGGCTAGTGAGATCCAAGACATCGTGGAGTTAATGTCTGGACTGAGTCTGTCTGGAGACGCCTGTGCCGAGTTGTGTACGAAGAATCACATCCAAGTGTTGCTGGACATGTCGTTGCTGTCCCATCGCTGCCAGACTGCGCCCATTGGAAGTGACATGAGCAATGATCACGGGGAAATCCCCATGATGGAGTCTTTCATTATGTCGGAAGGCAACGACACCTCTTCCGTTCCCATAGCAGAGCTTTCGCTGTATGAAGAATCACGGTATGCGCTCAGATGGAGCATTAAACTCAAGACTGTGGGGGGAACAGACGATGACGGTGTGGTAAAAGGCCCCATTTCAGCAAACGAACTGAAGGAATATCTGGACGCTGACCCTTTCATTCGACATCGCCAGATCGACGCACTGTATGTTTGCTGCTGCTCGACGCATGACGGTGAGGAGCACGTATGGAAGTCTATGTTTGAGTATCCCGAATTGCGCTGGATGGAGCTGACGGACGAGCCAATCGACACGAGCTGCGCAGCATTCGCGTTGAAGTCTCTGAGGAACTTTATGGTGAAAAACCAGCGCAAAGCCTCGGTTGTGAACAAGCAGCTGTGGCCTCCTCCTTTGGTGAATACTGTGGTCGCAAATACGTCGTCGCTAGCCTTGCTAGTTCAGCTTCTGCTTGTGAATGTCTCGAGCGTACGGAGATATGTCTGTGAGATGCTGATGTCTTTGAGCGACGAGGAGCTGCAGGAAGTGTACAAGTATGGCGCCTTTTATTTCATGTTGTCAACCGTGGCGAATCCCAGAGGTGACAACAACGTACCGGCCTTTGTCCCCGAGGCAGCACTACTCAAGCGCATCCATCGAATCCAGCGATCATCGGAGCGATATGTGGGGCAAAGCTACTTGACAGACATGCTGCCTGAGTCGCTCATCGGAGTGTTGGACACGGAGAGCCCTGAGAATTTCGCTGACGTGTACACTGGTCGTACGCGTGACAAGCGGGTGCTGTGGTCTGCACCGATGAGGTTACACTTACAAGAGATGCTGGACGAACACTTACGTGAGTTCAAGGAGAATTTGAAGAGGAGTGTCACTTCGAAGTACAGCTACACGCCCATCCCTCCGATCTCGTACCTGGAGCTATCAGGCGACGTCTACTGCAGTGGCTTCTATCTGTCGACGTTTAACCAGTCGAACTCAGATGCCGAAGAAGTGGACGATCCGGTGTTTATGATGAAAAGTATTGAGCAGAAATGGCGATACTTGGCACGGCGTCAAGTAGATGGCGTGGAGGACGATACGGACCATTCAGACGCGTACAAACTCTTCGGCTGGAGCGAGGATATCACGTTTTCGTCTTCAGATTTGCGTTCGCGGTATCGAGAGCTGTGTAGACGAGAGGTCGAAGTGTCTGCAGTTCGCCAAGCGTTTGATTCTCTATGTGCTGCTCTAGAACACAAGAACGAAGCTGGCGGTGGGAAGACATCGGATGTCATCGAGCGGATCTTGAAGTCACAACTGCAGTTGCTGGACAAGTACGGCTTCCAGTTTTTCTCCTACGAGTCGTCGACTCTTGACTTGGTTATCCGCGTGTTGTCATCTCGATCGGCGAAAGAGTCCAAGTTCCGTGGCCTGGCGATGGAAGTTTTGCAGCGTCTGCTCTCCGTTGCGCCTCAAAATGGCCCACTTCTAGTTACCGTCCAAGGTAGTTGGGACGTGATGCTCGACTTAGTGGAGAGATGTGCATACGGTCATGACTTGGCAGCGAAAGAGAGCATGTTCTCAATTCTGAAGCTGCTCTTAACATCGGAAGAAGGGGTGCAGTCGCTGCTAAAGAGCAGTAGACCCACGCCGTCCAACGATGTGCCAGTGTCGAGAGCGTTCGATTTCAACACCTTTGGAGACGATGACAACACATCATTCTTTACTGCGACGGAATACACGTCTCAGAACGGAACGGGCAAGTCCAGACACGCCCAGCGCGTATATTCGCTGCTAGACGATGTCATCCTTTCGTTCGAGAATATCCAACCGTGGCATATCCAGAAAATGTCGTTTGAAATCGCGTCTTCGCTTTGTCGGAGTCACGAGCTGCAGCATCATATCATGGCGTCCACGCGGGTGTTCTGGAAAGGTCTGTATTTGATCCTAGCGTCGGCCGAGAGTTTCGATGCAGAGCAGACAAGTACCAGTGCGTTGGCGAAACAGGAGCAGGATATGTTGGAGAGCGCGTTCGGAGCGCTTCGAGCGCTGGCGTTGGGACCCGATGGCAATAGTCGATCAGCTGGACTTGAAGCTTTGGCGAATCTTCTTCCGATGGACTTTCTGGATCGACTGGAGAAGCCTAATGGGCATGACTTCTGCACTATTTTGCTGTCTGATATTCGTGAACCGACCTGCATCTGGAACGAAAGCACGCGAGCTGAACTCTCTCAACTTACAGAAGAGTTTTGCACGGATCCGAATGGCGACGAGGTGTCGTTCTTGGAAAGTGCCACTCACTACATGTACGATTGCCTGAGCTCCGAGCCGTATGTTGGAGGAATTTATCTGCTGATATTGCTGGAGAAGTCAGAGGACGGTCTCCAAGCTATCACGGAAGATACGCTGTACCCGACCACAGCGGTTGATTTTGTCGAATCTCTCTTTTGCTTTCTGAACGAGAACAGAGACCCCAAGCTCGGTATTTATTCGGACACAATGCCAGCGTTGGACTGTTTGAGTCTTCTTTGCGACTTGCCTGCCTTTCGACCGGCTATTGTGGAGTGTCTGGAGCAACATGTGGACGACGAGGATGCAGTCAATGCCTCCATTTCAGTGGCAACTTTGGGCAGATATTTGCTGCCATTTGACGGTAATGATAAAGCCAAAGCGGCCGTTTCGATATCGTCTCGACGGTCACTGTCGACGTATGGATTTAGAGCCAAAACTGACTCCAACGACGGCCCCACTGCGATGGAGACGGAGTTTGGAAATGTGGATTACTTGGCTCGACAAGAGATGGCGTTGCTGATTCTCAACAAAATCTGCGGCTTCGAGTGCAACTTGGAGCGGATGTTGGCTCCTTTTTGCCAGTTCACGTGGTGTCTTCAGGTTATCACGGATCATCTCGGATACGAGCAAGCTTACTACGCGTTGTCCTGCTTGGCTGAGCTGTGTGATACGTGTCTCGTAGTTGCTCAGTACGTACAAGATAGTGGACTGTGGGTCGAGATCTTGGGCGTCGCGCTTCAAACGAGACAACATGTTCTCCATGAACATTTCCTGCGAGCTGAAGCTCTACGTGAACCTGCTTTTGAAGTGCTGTATGCTCTGCTGATGAAAGACTTGGAGCTACGAGAGAAGATGTACAGCGGACTGTGCAGGTTTCTCCCGTACCCGATCGTGTACCAGGTTCATTTGGACCCCAGCAAAGCGACGCGGTTCTTCGATGACAACCACGAAAAGAGCGACTTGGTCTGGGATTCCCACCGACGTACTGAAGTCCGTAAGAAGCTGGACCAAGTGATTGTTCGCAATCGCGTGGAGCGTTCAGTTGCCAAGCGAGACACGGTTTTACTCGATGACGAGACGGATTTCATCCCTCTGCCTCAAAACTTCGTGGCAGGGTTATACCTTGATCGGTTCTTGTCTCGTCCAGACCCAGAGAGGCTCACGAATCCAGCATACAATCTGGAGTTGTTGTTCCAATTGTGGAGAACTCAACTGGATGAACTGATGAGGTTTGATCTGCAGAATCCTCCGGAGAACCTCAAGACTGCGGCTGATGAAATTGACAAGTACACGATGGCGATGACGCACATTTTACGAGCGTCCCTGGATATTGATGAAAGCATCGCTAACAATCGCATACCAGAGCAGATCGTCAAGCTGGTGCGTCACTGCAATCAGCACTTGATCACGAGTTTCCCGTACCGTTGCGTGCTGCGTATCGCTCGACGGTTAGTGCAGTTCCCCGATATGACGTCGAAAGAGTTCGTGGAGCTGCTTACATGCCGCATCACCATGCAACACCCGGATATTCCGTCGTTAATGAAGGTTCTTCGTCGGGTTTTAGAAGCGCGTAATACGACATTAACGGAGAACGAGACGAACGATGATCCCGAGTACTGGTTAAAAGACCTCAAGTATTATCCGCAAATGCTGGCGTTCCTAGAAGGACTCGTGGAGAACAAGGAGCAGATCGATGCCTCTCTTCTTTCCAACGTGAACCGAGTACTGCGTATCATTCATGCGGAAGAACCCAAGGAAATGCACTTGAAGCAGATCTCACGCAGCTTTATGGGGCGCTGGCACAACTTCACACTGGAAAGCAGACCGTCCATGTTGCGCAACTCCATCAAGACTGCACAGCAGGACTCGAAGCCATCGGTGGGTACCGTGAGTACAAATTACCAGTCTGTCAATCCGAACGCCATGAGTACACGAAGTTTCGATGTGGATGGAGCAAGAGGAGACATCGACACTCGAAGCTTCAACGTGGATGTCGAGAGAGAGCCTTCTATTCGAGTTGATATCAAGGGCGTACCAGACGATCGTGAGATCGACATCGACGCGACGTTTATCCAAGCTCCTCCGAAGAGTATCAACTTCACTGGTGGCGCTGTCGAGTTGACAGAAGCTGTAGCTCCTCGTAGTTTCCGGTACAAGGGCGAAGTTGCACGTGATTCCCCACTGCCATCGCCCGCGTCGGTACGTTACTCGACGCTAGGAGCTCGATACGAGCCGATTGATTCGCAGTATCACTCCAAAAAGGCAGCCGAGTATGACGACTATCACGATGACGAGGATATCTTCGATAGTCGACCGCGTCGTGGGAGTTTACCTTTGAAACCTGATGATGTGGACGTGAAAAAGGTTAATGGAAATGGCGTCGCGCCGACTGCTGTAGGCGACATCCCCATGAGTAACATCAACGTCAGCAACTTCATCTCGCAAGCGCCAACAACGCGAAGACGCGACCAATCGACCGAGATGCCATCAGATGCAACGTATCTGAGTCGACAGAGTGGAATGAGTGGCATGAGCAACGTGAACTCGGATCGACGCTATTCTCTACTGGATTCGTGGAAAGCGCCGTCGTCTGCAGCGCCGAACTCATCGCTCACGTCGCTAACGATCTCCCGACGAGGACGTCGCGCTGCGGCGGTGTACAGTCGCCACAAGTCCAAGAAGAAGAGATGGTTCAACAGATAAATTGAAGTGCATAGACTTTATTTTTACATTTCTGGTTTATTTTTATATATTTCAAAATTAAGTTGAAGCTGACCATCACTCTACATTTTGTCCGCATCCCTCGTGTCGCTCTTCTTGCGTATGTGTCTGAGCAGATTGTGGAGCTACGATGAGTTGGCAGCAGAATATAGCGGTGCAGCGCGCCGTTCAAGCCCCAAGTCGCCAGGAAGAGAGGGGGGCTGTGTCTCCCAGTGGAGACAGCAGGATCCTCCGCTACATCAAGACACTGACAAACCACCAGACAAATGCTAAGCAGCAGCGAATGGATCAATACTTGCAGAAAGTCAAACACACGCAGCAGACAGAGGAGAGAGACTTGTACCATCCTCGCTCGCTGATGGCGACAAACGCAAAAGAGCATCAGGATGAATTGAAGACTTCCATCCCAACGCTTCGAACGAGTCAGTGGGAAGACAAAAAACCTCGAGAGCAGAACAGACTATCTAACAGATCTTCAGTAGCACAAAGTGACCGCAGAACGCAGGAGAAACCGAGAACTAACCATCGTCGCAGGTACAAGCGTCCGTACGAAGGAAATCAAGGCAGCGGACAGTTGAAGAAGTCCAAGACCATCCACCAGACTATGGCTATCAGTGCGTTAGATCGATTCAGGTTCAACAGCACCTGCTTGCAGAATAATTCGCAGACTAGTACGAAAGAGCTATCCGTTAGCAAGAAGACACAGCAAACCACAATTCCGGCAGCTGCTGTCAAACACGCTAAACTCGGAGGTGCATCCGTTGACCCACGAATGCCACCAATTACACTCGGTGTTCCCAGTGCTGAGGTGCAGGACCGTGCTGTAGTTCAGGCTACAGCTCGTCCAATTTCAGCTGGAGCTCAAGATGTGTGGACCAACTCAAACCAACTCGCTAATCTCCAGCCACCGGAGGGGATGCAGCCGGAGACCCTTGACTTCCAGCAGGAAGACTTTGTGCTCACTTACGACCCTCTTAGTGCCATCATGGATTCGGTTTACTTCTGAATCGATATTATCGAAAGGCGGCGTAACGTGTTCTCATATCTTATGCTGCCTCCAAACACAAAAGGTCGCGACTTCATAGTGACCCAAAGTCTGCATTCGCACCATCGAAGATGCACCCCCAGGCTTGGAGCTTGCTCTTAGTAACGATACTAGCGCGATGTTGCATGTTGTCAGGTGGTGAGAGCCTCTTCGCCCAAGCGAGTGCTCTTAGTAATGAATATCCTTCGTCAACGTCGCTGTGTGGAGAGGATCTAGCCGAAGAGACCGGTACGCTCAACGGTCTGTACTATGTGTACTACCAATCGTCCGCCAAAAGAAAGAATGTTCCTGTGATTCTGTGGCTCTCAGGTGGTCCTGGATGCTCTGGGCTTGTCGCGTTATTATTTGAGAATGGTCCTTGTTCTTTTGACGACGAGACCGACACAATCTCACTCAATCCGTACGCGTGGACTGGGCTTGCTAATGTTGTCTACCTCGACCAGCCTAAAGGCACAGGATACAGCAATGGAGAGCGTGGGATTACGCGTCCTTGGTCACTTGACGGTGCAGCGGATGACATACACGAGTTTCTCCACCAATTCTACCAGCAACATCCAGAGCTCAGAGTGAGCGACTTTTACATTTTCGGAGAGAGTTTCGCCGGGCACTACGTACCAGACTTGGCTTTGAGATTGATCGACGACAGCTCACTTCCAACACTGAAAGGAATAGCCATCGGGAACGGCGTCGTGTCCACAACAGCTTGGGTCGAGTCTGTGATCCCTTTCTTCAAAGTCAACGAGTATGGTTACGATTTCCTTGGTTCAAACGAAATAATGTTCCAAACGTTTCGCGATAACTTCGAATCAGCGCTTTCGAAATGCAGAGAGGGAAATAACTTACGTCACTTACCTACTGAAGGTGCTAGTTCTGACTGCAGTGAGGCTCTGCGAAGCCTCACAAACTTTGAAGGAGCAACTTCCTCTTCAGTCTGCAGTCTTGGTCGGAACGCATATGACATACGACGTGAGTGCCATCAAGACGACGCTCTTCAACTCTGTTATCGCTTTTCTCGTCTCCAGGCTTTTGTCAACACCCCTGCTGCAAGTTCTTACTTCGGTGAAGCTCCTCATGAATGGAAATTGTGTTCTTCCGGAGCACTCCAGCAATTAGCAGAAATGGATCAACTGGAGGAGAGCGAGTCGAACGTCGCTCGAGCTCTTGAACGCGGCGTTCGAGTGCTCGTCTACGGTGGTGACGCCGACACTGTCGTCAATTGGATGTCCCAAGACTTGTGGACGCGCGCTTTGTCTTGGAAACATCAAGCTCAATTCAGCTCCGCAGCCTTCAATGAACAAAAGTATAACGGTCGAAGCATCGGTCGCGTGCGGTCTTCTCATGGGCTCAGCTTCATGAAAGTTTACAATGCCGGCCACGTACGTACATACCGGTATCCCGTTTTCCCCTGCACTCATTCACTAAGCTCTCTTGTGTATTAGATGGTTCCTCATGACCAGCCCGCCATTGCATACGAGATGGTCCGCAGTTTCCTGCATGACGATCCACGAGTTGGCATGTTTAGTTAATTCACTCTTAAATACCTTTATAAAAAAATGCATTTCTTTAGAATTAAAACAATTTAGAGCTCCGAATTGGCAGTTCCAGCAGCCATCTAACGCTCTTCGTTACACGACAGACATAAGACGCGGTCGAACTGTTCATCGCAGTTGAGTGTCGAGCACACCGAGCAGAAGACGTTGTAGCATGAGTCGCATTCACGGCGGCAGCAGTCGCCCATCTGCCGTTCGCAGTGGCTGCAGCGCTGAATCTGGCTAGTATCGAACTGACGCTTGGTATTATCGCACACGGCGCAGCAGGCGCTTGGCGTCTCGCACTTGCCCGCGAAAAGACGACCGATGCTGCTGTGCTTCTTGATGCGCGCGTTGGTGATGGCGGCAGACATCATGCGGCTCATCGCGTCTGAAGATTGCGCAAAAGCGCGTTTCGATAGTCAGTCTCAGTGTTTAAACATGAATCTCAACAGGGTTTGAGCCACGCACCAACGGGTACGGAGCGGTCTCGGCAGCGCTTGGCAGACGCATGTGGCGGCTTCCAGGGCGACATGGAGGCCCATAGAGACGAAGGGGGCGGTGTCATGCCCAAGACATCCATGTCAAAGTCTTCCATAGTGGTCTCATCGCGTGACCGCTTCATATTGGACCTAATTTTACAGCGCTTGCCTCGCGCTAAAACGGAAGTGACGCTGATGGCGGGAATCAATTGGCGCGTACTCGTTAAAGTACGAAATCCTCTCTACCAGTGCAAAATCTATTGAAACTGTTACTCAGTGCTTCCAGCTGTTCACGACACACACACAGAAACGAGGTAAATTAGTGACCTGGCTGCTCCAAACAGCATCGAGCAGCTCCACGTACATCTTAATGGTGCGATCCTTGCTTCCCGAGGCCACCATGTCGCCGTTGGGGCTCCAATCGAGCGCATACACTTCGTCTGCGTGACCTGACAGTGTCGTCTTGGCGTTCTTGGGTTCACTGAGCTCCCACACCTTTACAGTCGAGTCCTTGCTGGCTGTCACGATCAAGCGCGCGTCGCTGGACCAACATACCTGATACACAGCGCCGACGTGGCCTGTGAGTGTGGCAATGAACTTGCCCGTCTGGCCGTTCCAGATCTTAACTTTTTTGTCGAAGCTAGCACTGGCAAAGTATCGTCCATCGGGCGAGAAGCTCAAGTGGTTCACTGGCTGCTGGTGGCCTGTAAGACGCGCCAGTGGCTTCTTGCTCTCCGATGGCTCCCAGAAGAACAGCGTGAAGTCGTCTGATCCAGAGACCAGACGCTCCGGTTGGCCCTTACGCACCTCCTGGTACCGCTTCAGTGTTGCCTGCTGCATCTCCTCACGCGACGCGAAGCTCTTGGAGTTGTGACCGAACGGACCCGAACGACAGACGTAGTCCACGTTCAGTGCCAGTGTGTTGATACGGTGACCATGACCAGTTAGTGTACGCACGAGCTTGCCCACGTGCTCGCCCTCCATCGCCCAGACTTTAATTGTTCGGTCACGGGATGCGCTGTATAGCAGACCTTCACCTCCCCATTTAATGCATTCCACCGAGTCCGTGTGGCCCGACAACGAAGCGATGGATCGACCTGTACGAGCGTTCCACACTTTGATCGATCCGTCCTTCGACGAACTCGCGAAGCGCTCACAGGTGGCATTGCGGTGCATGGGCTCCCAGGTCAGCGAGTTCACCCACTGCTTATGGCCCTTCATGGGCTGACCGATCTGCTTACCTGTCAGCGGATCCCACAGACGAATTTCACCATTGCGATCAGCCGACGCAAAGCGCGTTCCATCCGGCGACCAGGCCGTACACAGCACGTGGTTCTTGTGACCACGACCAGTGTGCTTGGGCATGCACGTGTTGGTGTCCCAGAAGCGCACGGTGGCGTCGCCTCCTCCACTAGCTAATCTCTTGCCATCAGGACTGAAGCTCACGTGCAGAATAGCCTCCGAATGTCCCTGCAATGTATCGCTGCAACGAGTGACCGGACGCACACGGAATGCCGCCAGTGGCTGGAACGTGATGGTCAGCGCAGTCTCCGTCGACAATTTCTGAATAAAAGTATCACAACAAGTCAGTACTTGCAATGATTTTAGCAGCGATGTTGCATATTAAATTGCCCACACACCAGTTCCTCGACCGTAGACTTGAGTGACGTCGTCACCTCCGTCTCACCTATGAAAAGTGAGTACGGCACACGGTTCTTGCCGTTCTGCAGCAGCTCGTTCACCAGCTCCTCCATCTGACGGACGTTGGAGCTCATCGGAATCTCCAGCTGCGGTCCCACATTGGTTCCCTATTCGAATGTACGAAAAAGCAGCAGGATAAGCGCAATTTATTGAAAGAAAAAGTGTCAACCGTCTCACATCTTCACTTTGAAACTGGGCAATAGCGGACGTTCCAGTCTCGTCATCCGAGTCTTCTTCGTTGTCACTAGCATTGCAGTCCTCTGTCTTCATTGCCGCGTCACCTTTGATGTTGGCTCCATTGGGCTCGTGCTCCACCTTCATCTTCTTGGCGACGTGCGTGGCCATGGCTACTCAAATGGCAAAATGTGGCAAAAACTGTTGGCTGTCGCGAAAATTCAAATTTCGACCAATCAGAAGTCGATGAAAGAGTTGAAGTGGACGCTCAAACTTGAATAGCACTAGTAACTTAGCTTTATAAAGAGTATATGGTGTTTAGCGTGCTCTGCTGGTGCTACCCTGCTTTGTAGATCATCACGGCCTTTTCGTTGTAGTAAAAGAAGACAAAGTTTCTTGTCACGTGGGTCACGAATGAGCCAAAGTTGCGACCGATACACACCACCCAATGAGGATCCCATGCCTCGTCCAAATGAGCTTTGATCTCCTCACATACCTACCAACCACAACGACTACGTCACTAGAAGTTGCAATTCAGTGCTGTAAACGCAACAAACTCACCGCTAAACCATTCTTCTCATATTCCGCTCAAACTTGAATAGCACTAGTAACTTAGCTTTATAAAGAGTATATGGTGTTTAGCGTGCTCTGCTGGTGCTACCCTGCTTTGTAGATCATCACGGCCTTTTCGTTGTAGTAAAAGAAGACAAAGTTTCTTGTCACGTGGGTCACGAATGAGCCAAAGTTGCGACCGATACACACCACCCAATGAGGATCCCATGCCTCGTCCAAATGAGCTTTGATCTCCTCACATACCTACCAACCACAACGACTACGTCACTAGAAGTTGCAATTCAGTGCTGTAAACGCAACAAACTCACCGCTAAACCATTCTTCTCCCATTCCTCGGTGTCGAACTTTCCCAGTCGTGACGTGACGTGTTTGATCGCGTCTTCCAATACGTCGTCCTCCATATCGCAGGGCATCTTGACCTTAGCGCCCCACATGTGCTGCCAACTCGGTGCCTCGCCCATCGTCGCTGACTATTTTGTTGCGGAATGAACGCAGATCGCGACGTTTCAAGCCAAGCTTTTCTATCAATTCAACATGGCTACATTTCAGGGAAGGCGAAACGACGTAGGGCAATTAATTGACTCTTCAAAATGACAAGGCGGTTAATGAGTCGGCGTGGCAACAGCACTAGCCACTCGCAGGTGACACCGTACCAGCAGATAGAGGTAAATAATATTGAATATTGATACTACTACTGTAGTATACTGATCATTGTGTAGCTGGACGATGGTTGGCGAGAATGGGAAAACACCAAGCAGGAACTGGTGCTGGTAAAGCGACAAGTAGCAGAGAAGGTCTGTTCATACAGTACTATGCTGTACCGAATTGTCTTGCTAACACGGAGAGGTCTATTATGTGTCTAGGATGCACTGATACTTCAGTTGAAAACTGCATCTCGCAGATTAGAGGAAACACTGCACAAGAAAGAAAAAGATGTACGACACCCAGTCGTAATCATCAACAAAACTGTGGTGTCTAATGTGCAAGTTTTTGCTAGTTGCAAGCTGCGTTTGCCATTCTACGGTCCCCACAAGACGCCAAGACAACCAAAACGCGCAAGCAGGAGCTGGTTGACCGCTTAGTCTCCGAGTGTATACAAAGGGTACGGCTCAGTTAAATTGATACCAGTGATCCTCAGTTATATGATGCCCCCGACTCTGGTTAGATAGGCTACGACGTCTGAGGCGCTGGCCGAGGAACGGAGGCGAGAGCTTGACCGACTCAAGTACAGCAGGTAAAGCACTCCATTCGATGTTGCGTGGTTGTTCACTGACGTGCAGGATAGTAAATTTCTTCGCTTCCAGGAACTGGAGATTGAGATCGAAGAGTGTCATACAGAGATCGAGCGGCTTCGAGCAAAGTTAGCGACATCGCCATCCTCGGCGACTGCAATTGTTGGCAAACTTAAAGTTTCGGCTGTGCCTAAAGGTACCGGAGGCCTCACTAGTACCTTGTCGAAGAAACCCAAGCTGGATCCGTTGGGCATGCCTGAAGATACAAGTCAAGAAATCAGACAAAACGCTTCTGTCTTAACTGATTTGAGTGCTAACAGGATGCCATTCACGCAGACAGCTACAGGTCAAGTTCGTGTGGTGCCACTTACCAAGTATCAGCGACGAGAGGGATTTGTCACTAAAACGCGTCGACGAGCACTCGAGGCTGAATATTACAAGCAGGTCCGTCTTGCCCAGCTGGAAGTTGAGTGCGAGTTGGAGGAAAACCTGCATATTCGAGCAGCTAGGGAAGCAAGGAGGCTTGAAGCCAGTCAACAGCAAGAATTAAGGAAGGAGCTAGTTCGCGATAGTGCTAGGTCTCGGGATTTCACTACAAAAATTGAGGAGAGAAATGATGGATCGGCTAAGATGTCGGGTTCTGGTACAGATGAAGATGTACGGAGGAATAATCTCGATGACTCAGGACAAGGCGATGTAGACCCTGGCAAATCGGAGCTGCAACAGATAACTTCACGTGAAGCAGGCTATAGTGAAGAAAAGAGTGTCGACTCGACCGATAAGGATATTGATGTCAGTCCAGGAACTACAGTAGAGGAAGCTGGTGATAACGTTAAGCAAGCTGAGTCTGCTGAAAAGCGTGTGTCGGGGGAAGAAGTGGGAAACCAAGCTGAAGGTTTTCGGAAAGCTTACGATCATGATACGCAGAAGACGTACGAGGATGATGAGTTTGATGACAATGATGATGGTACGAATGACAACGCCAAAGAAACGGGCTCTGTGGGTGAATACAATGTTTGGAACTTGGATCCGAGTCCTCAGAATAAAAACAATAATGTCGAGCTTGATCAACGAACCGACAGTAACGGCGAGGATATCACAAATCCTGGAATCTGGAATGCAGATCCTAATCCAGCAGCTGCGACAGAAGCAGATATACCGAGCGAAGTCGTTGTTAATAAGGAGGTGTGGAATTTAGATCCCCGAGAAGGTCGCTCGGATGAGCCGATAGACGACGTATCAGTCCATAGCGATGATGAGGTTCGTGCACATGACGATTCAGTGCATTTTGATGAATTCTCCAAAGAAAAAGATGCGGGAGGTGAATACAATGCTTGGAACGTGGATCCGAATCCACAGAGCGATCACCAGTCTGATCGGAAAAATACTGAAATGAGTCAACAAATCGGAACCAACGACGAAGCTGTTGTGTGGAATCAAGATCCCTATGCTGGTGGCTCAGATTCATTTGAAGACGATGCATTTAGCGATGAGGAAGATCACGTACAGGACGATCCTTTGGAACATGCTGAATCAATCTCAAATGAGGATAGAAACACAAGCAATGTCTGGAATCTAGACCCCAATTCTTCCGCTGTTACTGATGCGAAACTTGTAGACGCAGCAACGTCACATGAAGTGGAAGTGCAGAGTCCAGCGAACGCAGTACAAGAGGGAGAATCGAAAGTTACTGAGCACAGCACGGATGTGAACGTTTGGAATCTAAACCCGATGCCTTCGTCAGATCCAGCTCGAGCAGCTACAAAGGAGAACAATAGTGACGACACAATAAACGAGCCTGTTTGGAATCTAAATCCTGAGCCCGTAGCGGAGATAATCTCAAACCCAGACGACCCTGGTGCTCATCGTGATGCTTCTGAGGAGCCTCTGGGTGGTAACTCCGGAAGCAGCACGAACGAAATCGCTAAAGCAAATTTAAACCCTTCGTATCCTGTATCTACAGCTGAAAAGGAAGTTGGTGAACACTTCTGGAATTTGGAATCCACCTCAGCATCATCCGGAGTGGGGAATAAAGACGACAACAAAGAACTGGTGCAATTTGCAAGAACACCTCTAGAAGATGACGCAGGAGTTAGCGAGTTCTCTATTGGCGCTGGAAACGCACAGGTTGAACCTAATCTTGATGCAGCCACTACCGACGCCGACACAAGCAATGATGTCTGGAATTTAGAGCCAACTGCACCCGCGGCCGCGTCAATGATTAATGACGACGAAACTAACTCTCCTGACGGGGAAGAGGCAATTGAAGACACAGTATGGAACCTAGATCCACACACTGGCGACGCTAGCGAACCTATACACATTGCCGACGAAGTTGCACATCTAGAAAGTGCACAGGGAGACGATGACGCACCAAGCCCTCAAATGCAGGAGGACCCCACGCCAACGCATCAAGAAGCACCTGAAATAACGTCAAATCATCCAGATCCATTAGAAACAACAGAGCACACTAGCGAGGCCAGCTACGAGAGCTCCCCTCGGGGGTCCGAAGATGACGGTACTCCAGAGTACACGCCTCCGTCAACAGCACGCGACTCAGATGAAGAAGATTAACTTATTTGACCACGTCAGAATGGTACATGGTACCAATCATCTCTTCGCGTAACATTCCCACAACATTTGTCTCTCAGTCGCTCGTTCGCATTATGATCGCCTGCGTTGCTGTCATCGGCGCGGCCGTAAGTGCGTCTCTGTCGCTGCAGCGCTAAGCGACTATAAGCTAAAAATGCTATCTATTATCACCTGTCTTGCAGAATAGCCCCCTGTATATCCGTACGTTCGGCGAGGAGGGCGAAGACTTGGGCTTCCACTACATCGCGCATGTGTCACTGGATGTGATCGAGGAGAAACTGCGCGGCGCGGGCATCACCAGCTCCAAAGACGACATGTACTTGGGATTCCTGGGTCCTATTGAAGACTACCGAGTATACGGCTACGTGACCAACACATCTGTCAAGTTCGTCGTGGTGCTGCAGGACGCACCAGTGCGCGAATCCGAATTGAGACCGGTACGAGCAGCTTCATTAAAAAGCTATTGATATGCTGTCGCTGGAGGTTACGGTACTCACTGAATTATTGCTGTGTCCGCCGATTGCAGTTTTTCGCGGAGGTGCATCGTCTCTATGTGAACGCCATGTCGAACCCTTTCGCGCCGCTTGGCGAGCGTCTGACATCGCAGACCTTTGACAAACGAGTGTCCAACCTCGTCGTACAGCACAACACAGGCAACTAAGGTGGATGCAGCGTTTATTTCTTTTGGCTCTGTGCCTTGTATGCATTTTATCTCGTCTCTACATACTCAAAGCTTCGACTGACAGGTCGCCCACTCCGCTGTCTTCCTCCCTCTCTTCTTCTTCGGAATCAGACTCCTCGTCTTGATCTTCCTCATCGATTTCAGGCATAGGGAACCGCAGGATAGCAGCGATACCGCTCACTTGGCCGAGCTTCTCGCCTGACACGTGCAAGCTACTGAACAGCCTCACGGTGCCGCCATTCTCCCGCACGCTTTCTACCAAGTCGACGTATTTACGACGTGTGGCGATATCCTGCGACCGGAACAGAGCATCCGTGATCATGAGCGTCTCAATCGCCATGTTGGCGTTAGCTTGCACAACGTGCTTGTAGCCGTAGTATGCGCGGTCCTGGTCGATGTGCAGCATGTTGAAGAAGCGCTCCAGACACTTGACGTCTTCCACGGCCTTGGTATCCGCCACCTGCATCTGAATCGCCGGGTCACTGAGCACTTCATCGAGCGCATGCTTGTGACCTGACGAAGAATGACACAGCACGAACTTGGGCTTGTTCTCGAGAATGAGCTTGTCGTCCTGGCGAACAGCCTGCTCGATCATGAACTTAAAGAAGTCGTCCTTGACAAATCCTGGACTCGCTAGCAGGACGCACTTGACGAGCTTGAAGTCAATGTGCTGTCGGATGGAACGCACGATGTTCTCATAGAACTTCTCGGTGCCCTTGGCGTGGGCAGAGTTTCCAGGACGCTTCTTGGGCACACTCGTCTCGATCTTGGCACGGATGACAGTCATGTCGCCCTTTATCAAGCACAAGTGTGCTAAGCCAACCTGCATAACCACTGCCGCTAGCTCAGCTTGCTTGGTGATGTCGCACGCCATCTCAATACGTTCAAGCGACATGACGTCCCAGCAATTTTTGGTCAAAGTGAAGTCCCGGTTCATCTCAAGATCAAGTGTGTGGTAAGCTCCCAACTACAGGCACACGACGTCGTTGGAGGGATTATTTCATTCCTTTCTGATAGCACTACAAACGTACCCGAACGTGTTGACTCTCCATGATGTTCTTGCCCTTGATACGCAACACACACAGAGCTGGATCGAAGTTGACTTGCTCAACCTGCACAAAATCCAATATTTATCACTTGAACGATCATATCTCAGCACATTAGCACCACACCTCAATGTGCAGCGTCATTCGCACACGTTGGCTACTAGTGGAGCCTGTAACACCTTCTTTCACCACCTGCATGCGTCCGATATTTCACTTAAGTACGACTGATCATTGCATCAATACGCCGCCCTTGCGTACCTTACGGATCGTTGTGGTCTTGACAGAGTCGGAGACATGAATGAGGTTGTAGATGTGCCACATATCCTCTGGCTCCTCCGCACGCAGCACCACTGAGCCGGCGCCATCCTTCTCGTTGATCTGCTTCTTGAGCAGCTTCATCTTTGCCTGCGATGGCAAAATTACAAGAATGTTGCTTGAAGGTGGCTTTATTTTATCCAGCAAAACAATAATACCGGTATTATTAACCTTCAACAAGATGGCCAAGCTACATTGTGCGTGGTGTTGGCGCTTGCCCCGCACGAGAGCGGTCAATGGCTTCCGAGACGTCTACACCACGGGATTCACACACACCGAGACCAATAGCGGACCAGTCAAGATCGCTGCGGCCCTTTGCTCGCTCACTCAAGAAGCGATCGATGAGTGTGGACAGGAATGGCATTGGCACTTGTGACTCCATCGCCAATTGATGAGTCAGACGTTGGTCCTTATAGCCCAGCTCCAGTGCAAACCCACCGGGACGGTGGTCACGCTCGGACACGCGCTGGCCATATCCTTTATGGATAACTGACTTTAAGAACGTGCTGCTGTAGAACTCCATGGCCTGCACACGATCCACGCCGTTCGCTTCCAGTAGTGTCAATGCCTCGGCCATTGACTCGATAGCTGAAGCAATGAGGAAGTTGCCGCTTAGCTTCACTGCGTTCGCCGCGCCAGGATCCTCTGAGCTGAACGACGCCACTCGTCCATTCGTGCACTTATGTAGCCATTGAGACGCCTGCTCCACAGCGCTGGCATCGGAGCCTGACACGACGAAGTTCGCTTGCATGGCTTCCATGCCGTCAGGACGTGCAAAAATAGGAGCTGCAACATATTTCGTCTTCGCCTCAAGGTGCTTGATATCAAGAGTACGTGACGTGTTCGGGTGGATCGTAGAGCAGCCGACATGTAACGCGCCAGGTGCCATGCTGGCCAGCAAACCCGATCCATGCTTTGTTTCATTTCCGATAACGACGCTTGTGACGATTTCGTCCCTAGGTAGCACCGAGAAGATCGTACTTGTTTGGGCTGCTACCTCCTCGACAGAAGCAGCAGGTTTCGCACCGAGTAGCACGAGGCGATCAACGTTGGCGCGGTTGGCATCAAAACACAGCACGTCCACTCCTGCCTTCAGCAAGTTGTGCGCCATTGGAAAGCCCATATTGCCCAGACCAATGAAGCCGACGGCATTGCTAGAGACTAAGCATGAACACGTAAGAACTCAAAGTGGACGACCCTAGTACATGCATAATCTGATACCAACCAGAAAAGCTTCGACACCCGATCAATCCGATGCGGCGGTGGCAAATGTGACGCAACATTCTTCAATCCTATCGACCTTTAGTGCGGAGACAAGGAGGATGCATGAAGCAATGGTCAATTCAAGCTCATCATCTGGTATCTTTACATTTCTTTATATTAGCATACTCAAATGATTACTACGTGTATCTATTGACAGGAGAGATGACATGTCAAGGGCGACATCTAATTTTGTATTGAAAAGCCCCAGCATTCTCACCAGGCATTTCGACTTTACCGTGCTGTACCGGTTTATTAAGATGGTCAAGCGAGTGCCGGCTGCCAGTGCGGAATTCCTGCAAGCTTCATCCGCTGCGCTTACCACTTCGTCGGCGCCGTCGACGCCCGCAGGCCATGCTCCTCCGCTGGCCAATGGACCGGCCAGCGTCTCGGCCGTGTGGTCGTATTTTGAGAAGGACCAGTCGGGCAATTCCATCTGCAAGTTTTGCCAGCGTGTGATCAAGGGCCACCACTCGTCCAACCTGCTCTCGCATCTGCGCACAGCCGGTCGCACGGACACGGTGCACCAACAGGCGAACAACGTCTGCGAGGAACACCGAGAGACGAAGCGCCATGTCAAGCGCCAGAAGCTGGGGATACAGGCCATCGCAGGCCAAGGCGCAGAATTCGTCACTGCAGCCATGTATCCTCAGCCGGCAGCTTCTCAAGCGCTGGCCGCCGCTGTGGCCGCGGCTGGAGGATCTCCTGGTATCTTCACCGCCGCTCTTAAAAGAGATAATCCGGCTGCTTTCTACACACCAGCACTAAACGTTGCGGGGCTGGCAATGACCAGGGAACAGCGTGAGGCTTTGGGCCCAGGGTATGGAGTGCAGCCTGCCCAGGTCAATACGGAGCAGTTCACACAAGACTTGGCCTTAATGGCTCTGATGGATAATTTGCCACTGAACTTCGCTACAAAGCCAGGAATGCAGTACGTAGTGAGTCAGTTGCTCGGGGACAAGAAGCTGCCGTTGCCCAGTGCAGAAGCCATAGGGAAAAGTATTCTCTTGCTGCAAGAAAGCGTGTTCCTGACCACCAAGATGGTACTAGCGAGAGCTAAGAGCGTTGCTGTGTCGCTGGAGCTCTGGCAACACCCCTCTTCTACGAAACCCAAGCCGACGCAGTATCTGGCTGTAAAAATTCACTTTAGTGTGAACTTTAAACTCTTTGACATTGCAGTAGGCGTCGCAGCATTGGACGAATCAGCTGGGGTGGAAACGATTAAGGCCATCGTCGACTCGTACCTGGAACGACTGGGTATCAAGGATAAAGTAATTGCCTGTATCAAGGATGAACTACCTGCGAAGGTCCAGCTCACAGCGGCCGATCTCCCGTCGCTCTTCGTCCCAGTTAACTTCGATGGTCGAATTGCGTCACCTGGTGCAGCGCAAAACACGCTCCTCCTGACGTCCGCGGTGCAGCATCTGCGTGTATGCTTGACTCCGAGTTTCTTTACCAAAGCGTTCCCAAACGTGGTAAATCAAGTTGACGATTTCGTGACTCGATTCGCAGACTGTGAGACTGCCATCCTTGCCTTTAGCCAGGTGTGTCCGCTGCTCAACTTGGAGGTTTCTCTACTCGAGTCAATGTCGTACTATGATTTTCTTCGGGAATTCGTGGACCAACTGCCCACACTGGAGCAGATCGCCAGTGCGAATCTGATTGAGTACATGTCTGCGACTACTGTGGAGTTTTTGGGGCTGCTAGTGAAGAAACTACGACCATTTGCTCGATACTCGGAGGCGCTGGAAGGAGAAAAGAACAAGAAAACTGGCAGCGACAAGGAAGTGAACAAGAACGGCATTTCCAGTATTTCTACGATCGCTGCGGCATTAGTGACGTATGCTGAGAAACAAGCGCAGACAGCAGCTGAGACTGTCCCCTCCCACTTGGAACCGTTCATGTGGAAACACTTTTTCGAGACGCTGGCGAGGAAACTGCGTGATCAGTTTGCATGCTTGCCACCTGTATGCTACGCAGCGACGCTGTTCGACCCGCGCTATAAGAACCGTGAATACTGCTATCTGTCGTTCAAAACCGACTGCGATATTGGCAAAAATTTCCTGCGTCAAATGTTCACGTCTGAAGGGCAAACTGCCTCCAATTCTACTGGATTATCGGCCTCTACGTTGCCAGAGCTGGGGAAGGATCCATCCAGCCCTACTGACAACACTGTGGCCCTCGGCGAAGACGAAGATGACGATCTGCTCTCTCACCTGCCGTCGGAATCATCCAAGTCGTCTCTCCAGGGGAATAGTGAGATGGTCGCGACGTGGGAAAAGGAGCTGAGCGCTTTTTTGAGTCTCCCAGTATCGGAACGCAACGTTGACCCGTTGGCGTGGTGGAAAACGAACCAGTTGCGCTTCCCGCTTATTGCGCCGTATGCTGAAATGGTGTTGTCGCTTCCGGCTGCGTCCTCTAGCGGCGAGACTGTCCGAAGCAATGTGCATAATGTGCTGCTGCGCACAGAAGGCCTTACGCGTGAGGCAGCACTGGCAGAAAATCCGGCGATGGTGGAGGCATTCTTGTGCTTCCAGAAGAACAAAGATTGTGCCCTAGATTGGTTTCGAGCGGGTCCTAGCGCTAACGGAATCGCAGAAGCCGCGGGCCTGAGCGCAGATCTTGAAAGCAACGCCGCGAGCTTCAAGCATATTGAGAACGTGTAGTGGTGGAACCAGTTGAGCAGCTATGGTTACTGACAACCAATTGGAACGTTTCTATTGCAAGAAACTCAAACTTTAACATCGTCTTGTGTCTAGGAGGACTGTCGGGATGCTCTTCTTGCCGCCGATATAAACTCTTCGCCGTGGGCGTTGGTAGCCTCTGCGTGGCGCAAGAATGCTCCTAAAGCTCCGAAATATCCTTCATGTTTGCAAAAGCGCGCCTCCATGGCCCCGTGGGACCAGAAGTTAATTGCATACGCCAACGTCCGAGACGAAATCTTGTTGTGTCGAAGAAAGTTGCCGACGAAGAAAATGTTCTTGGTCTTGTACAGAGTCGCGTTCAGAAAGGCAACTTGGCCAATGTTCTGCGTGATCATGACGAGCAGTGATCGAGCGAGATCGGCGTCGCTCACGCTTTCTCGAGATACTGTAATCATTTTACCGAAGCTGCTGGCTACCGTCGAAGCCGGAAGTTTGAATTTGTCGTAAGCACCACCGTAGATATCGCCTACACTCATATCCACCGATTTGTTGGAGCCATGGACACACAAGTCCAAGGCTTCATCGTATGTGTCACAGTTGGTCATCAAACGACAAAGCCCCCAATAAGTGCCACCACCGATACTGCTACCGCTCACACGTTCATAATCTCCTGGTCCTTTGACATATAGCACACTCACTCCCAAACCAATACTGACAAGCTACAGATAGCTGTTAGTTTTTAAACACAGGCTTGTGGAACTACTGGCCTACGCACCAGATACGGGTAAACATCTTCCTCAGTATCAGTACGAATGGTTTTCACCCGAGACGCCGCCAATGAATTGAAATCCACGACCTGAGTTTTGCAACAGACTCAACGACTCAGTTTCCTTCCTCTTGCAGACCAGCACAAAACACCAATCTCATACCTCAAAAGTGTACACTTCGTCAGGCAGCGTCGTGAGCAGCAGGTGCAGTCCCAGAATGGTGCAGTCGATCTCGTCGTATTTCTCCAGCTCGATTCCAGCGATCCCATTGAATGCAGGGCCATACTGCCGGTTGGATCGATAACAAGATACAAGGATGAGTCCGGTATACCCACAACCTAGATGCCGTCATCACACTTCAAACCTTGTGAGCTCCCCCTCCCGTGCAGGGCAAGATCCGCAACGACTGATTGATCCCGTTGCTCGTGATGAACTCAATGGCGTCCCGCGTCTTGTTGCTCTCGAACCGTACAAAGTGGAAGATCTAGTCACCGATAAGAACTGTTATTACAAGCACTCGCATCTGTAGCTGCATCGAACTCACTCCGTTGAGCGTCTTGGAATGAATCCGCAGTCTCACGTCTTGAACGCCAGTCGTGCCGAACGAGTGATGTTCGCGCAAAAACTCATTCATCTCGCCTGCCGCCACATCCAGCGATGGAGAGCGCGGCCGCTTACGCGTGTCGTTGCCGGCCTCGTGGCGCTCGAAGTACACGATTTTGGCCAACGTGCCACCTGCAGCAACAGTCCAGATCCGAATCAGAAATTTGCCAATGGATTTTTTTCCCTTCCATTTGCCGACGCACCGATGTCCAAACCGAAAGACGCTCCCAGGTCGGATCTGTAGTAGGGATTGCAATGGTGCGGTTAATAATTATGGGAAGATTCCAAGTGGGAATGACTGAAAAACGGATGAAAAGACATTACGATTTTGACAGCTTCTTGTAGGTCAGACGCTGGCGCCATACGCGCTGACGGTGTCGCTTGCGCTCCAGACAGAAGAGAGCGACGGTTGAGGAAAAGAGCAAGAAGCCGCTCGCCAGCAGCGCACGCTCGGTGCCGCCGCCGACCCCTCCGTCCATGACGTAGACGTCCAAGATTGAACTTCTCCAACCCCTCCCCTTTTTAACGACTTTCAGCCAATGATGAGGCGTCTTAAAGGACTTCATTTTCTGACACATTCAACTTAGCTTACATGTATGGCCGACCTTTCTACAGTACTTATCGCGAATAAACATACGACTCTGACTACAGTTGGATAACATCTTCGGCATTCGTGTGAATAGTTATGCACAAGCTAGTTGACCTGAATGGAGGCCTATCCGATATCCATTATTGACGCTCTGTGATCCGACGCCATAAGCTTGCAGTTGTAGCTGGAAAGGTCGACTCCCCATCGCGTGTTTGCCAGGGATTCAAGCGAAACGACCGAGGAATTTGAGGAGAAGTGAGCTACTAATAGGGTCTGTCAAATTGACAGCAACCATCCGATCAATGCGTGGGAGTCACACATGTCGGGCAACGTTCAGCAGAGCGCTGCACCGCAACCCGATCCGATCTGCCTGAGCAATAGACACTGATTGAACCCATGTTCGTTATTGTTCGCCCACAGCCCGTGATGGCTTTGTTTCTTGATCACCGCCGACGTCAAGACAACCGTTTGTTTTTGGTTCGTTGTCATGAACCAAAATCCTGCCATTGCGATAATAATCCAGCTCGAAGCAAGATGTATCTGATCCCGATTTTCTGGAGCTTGTTTTTTGTATTCAAACTCAAAATTCGACTACTTTTCCCGATTTCTTAGAACCAGATGACGCATCGCAGGAGTGACGGTCTTACCCTTCAATAACAAATACCCGTCTATATGGTTTGATATCATCTTTATCAAAGCAATACAGTTACATTCATTTCCAGCCCTTAAGATGCAAGTGTGTAATAGGCAGCCAAAAAAGAATCACGCCGTCGTCGTGTCGTCTTTGGCTTGGTGATGGGCAAATCGCAGTGCTTGAAGCGCTGGTAACAGTCGTAGGACTTTGGTGCTGAGCTGAGAGCAGCTCCGCAGCCAGATCCGTGGCATTCCGCTATTTGCAGACCAGTACGTACGCCCACCGAAATCCACTATGTCCTGCAGTAGCAGCTTGAAGCCGCAGCCGATGACGCGCCGCATTGTGCGCCGCCCGCTGCAGTTCGCATCACCTGCTAAGGAGCAGAAATACCGCGCTGAAATGGACCACGTGCAGCGGTATATCTGCGAACAGGTCGGCGGGCTTGATGAGGCCTCGAGCCAGCTACTCGGCGTGCACGACAGTCGCTCTCGCAGCCACTATGAGGAGATCCAGGAGTTCCTGGAGCGCAAACAGCAGCTCGAGCAGCAGCAACAGACCGCTCAGCCGACCAATGAGCGCGTGCTCATTCGCAGCCTCGACGAGTACCTGAACGAATTAGATCCGAGCCTGTTCGTCGAGCACACGCCGGTCCCGCCCAAGAGACTCGCAGTCGCCAACTTGCCAGCGCACAGCAGTTACATCCGCCGAAAGCAGGAGGAGGCAATGCTCGGCCGACTGTGGGCCAAGTATCAGGTCACCGAGGTCGAGCGCTGCGTGGTACCCACTGTTTCGTGTGGCGGCCCGCTTAAGCGCCAGCGGGTCATGTGAATGATAGCAGACCCCATAGAACTAGAAGCTAGACGAGCAGAGCCCTCAGTAAAGTAGCCCCAACCTAAGTAATTTATCTAGCGACCGCCCACGTGGGCTCCTTCGCGCCGTAAACGCTTCTTCGCCATACACTTCCATTCACGCAAAGGTGAATGCCAACGGCCAGCTGGGAATTCCACTGGGATCCTTGCCATCAACAAAGTATCCAGGGAACAAGGAAAAGGATCCCAATACCACATTTAAGTTGAGCCAAAGATGGAACTACACTGTACCAGCCTGAAAATTGCTTGAGATATCCACAATAGTGAGCCCCATCGCGGTCTAGCTGAAGCGAGGAAGCTTCGTTCGTCGGAAGCGATTTGCAAGGCGATGCGAGAGTTTGATGATTATTAATACGTCGTTGCTGTTGACGCTCAAGAGTTGCAAGCACCTGGATCTTCGTACAGTACAGTACTGCACCCCGTTTTTGCGCCCTTGGCTTGATGCTAAAACTCTAGGATCCACGAGCCTAATCTTGCAGTGCTTGTCTTCGGCAGGCGAAATTGGTTCATTTTGAGGGAAGTGTTGGGTTTTGTTTTAAACCCAAAAAGTTTGTCTACCAGTCACATAGAGAGTCATTTATCTTAAAGGAGTACTGTACGACTGTTGGGAGGCAGGGATGTGGCGTGGTCGAGCAATTCAGTCAAATTACCGAGCACTTGACAGGCGAAAGGAAATTATAACCAATGAGTGAAGAGTCGCATGTTTTTATAAAATTGCTTTGCATTATCAGTTTAAGCAGGGGAGCTCTGAATTTAAAAGTATCATTGCTAATTTTTTTAATTTCTGTTACAAAAAGTGTATATTTGCACTACACAAGGAGGTCTCCAGTCGGCGCTCAGTCTTTGCGTCTGTGGTGATCATCGTGCCAGAGTTTCCTTGCAGAAACACTTAAACGTGCGCTTGTCGCGTTGTTTGATCTCCGTGGGAATCGAACTCACGCGTACTGCGCGTGAGCATGCTCCGTCACCCGCTCGGACACGACGTCGCAGAATTTGCGTTGTGCCTCAGGACATTTCCAAAGGTCGAAGCTTCACTCCACCAGAACCTCACCTGGCTCCTCAAAGCCCACCTGTGTCGACATCAGCGCAGGTGGCCTCCAAGCTGCTGTCTGAGATGGCACGCTCGCTGCCGAGCGTGGTGTCTCTTGTTGATACGTCAGTGGCCTAATGTCGCGAGTGTCGCCTCTTCCGTCCAGCAGTCTTCTACAATGTTCTTTATCAGCGCTTATGTCGCGTAAGAGCAACTTTAAGAGGAAGGGTAATGTAATGGGCCCCTTCATTACATAAGTAGGTAGATTTCCCTACATAAGTAGGTGCATTAGCACACGACTAGCGTGTGCTGAAATGCTGTCATGCCATTGGCTGATATATGGGGAGCCAGACCCAGGATTAGCCAATTGGATTATGACGTGTATTTGATTGGCCAGGGCTGTGGCCTTGGTCCTAAAAAAAAAAGTTAGAGTTATTTTTTTCTTAAACCTAAGACGCAGTCGTCCTATTGCGAGCTTCCTCAACACAATAGTATAAGCAAGTAACGGAGTAAATACCTGGCCCGCTACATATGTCGTTTACCAAACCGTAATCACACGTAACCTTTAAATACCGAGGTACCCTCTTAGCTTGCGTGTAGTGCATGCGGTCGTAAGATGCCAGAACTTGCCAGCATGTCTCGTGGCGTGCGCAATGTCAAGCCTCGAAGTGCTCACCAAGTACTGAAGTGCGCCCACCCCACGGTACGGCAGATAGTCCTTCGTGGCAGACAAAGTAGCCTGTGACAATACAGGTCTCAAGAGTAGCATACTTGTTGCAATTCGAATTATGGAAGCGCTTCAGAGCTTTCAGTATATATTAGAGAGCTATAGCAGATCGATACGAAACAAAATTCAGGAGAAATTGATGCTTTTTGAGGATTTTTGCTTTTTTTACTCTCGTTTCGTCTCCTATTTAAGAACGCTAGCTTTCGGCCTCTATTTATACAACGAACAGAGTCAGAGCGACACCGCGATCGATGGCAGCTCTACTTGCCCTAACTAAATTGACACCGAGGTTTCGTCGCTGAGTAGGTCATTGAAGGAGCTGCTCTCGGTGTCGTCCACCATCGACTACGCTAAAGGGGGGGGGGGCAAAACTCGATTTGACCTCGGAGGGGGGGGGTGTTAAACGTCGTCCGCCTCGTGCACAGGACCGGAATCCATAAAAAATACGTTTCGTCTCTGACGTGCTTACAGACACTAGGATATTTCAAACAAAATCTGAGACGCCTATTTGTCGTTTTTAAAGATATTTTAAGTATTCAAGCTTAAGCGGTCTACTGTTTCTGACAGTAGCCAATATGTCGACTTAGAATGTCGGCACCAAGAAAGTACTTAACAGTACCCGTCATAGTCAGTTCGAAGGTTTCTTGCAGTGCAGCTGCAATCTTGGTGCACCGGTCACGGTTTCCCATTAAGAACAAGCCATCCACGTAGACAGTCAACAGCAGCTTAACTTCGCCCTCCTTCTTCAACGCATACAGCTCATAGTCTGAGTCTGTACGCTCAAAGCCCAGTGTTACCACCTTCTCATGTAGAGTCCGGCCCCAAACTTTGGGCGCCTGCTTTAATCCATAGAGACTCTTCATACAGTGCTCGGTCCATCAACCTAGAACCTGGGCGGCTGCTCCATGCACATCATCTAGTCGAGCTCTCCGTATAAAAACACCGTCTTTACGTTGTAATGGAGTATCTTGATCCTCGCTGCACAGCAAAGTAGATGATCGACGAAAAGTCTCAAAGCGAATTACAGGAGCACAATCTTCGATGTATATGATGCCGAATTGTTGATTAACTCAGTGGATGACGATGCGAACCTTCAGCCGCTTGACGTAATCTTTTTCACTGCAAACCCATCGACATGTAATCGCCTTGACACCTTTTCGCCTTTCTCCGCGGTACAAGTCGCCAGGTATTGTGCTTCTTCAACGACGCTAGTTTTGCCAACATCGCAGCCCGCCACTGGGGACAGAACTTACTGTTCCGCCGTGCCTGCTTGTAGGTTGAAGAGATGTCCTCTTCCATGTCGTGCGCCATCACTTGGCCCACCACGTAATCGCTCAATCGTACCTGTGTCTTCTGCGTCCTTCTCGGTCGAATCATACATGGATCGACTGGAGATTTTTGAATTGCAAATCCAGTGTCCTCCTAAATAAGTTTATTTCGCGCCTTGCGCTTGTCTTTGTTTGTCGCCTTCATCGGCTCAGGTCTCTTCTCCGATGGTCACCGGACCTCTCTACGTCCTACTGCTCGACGGTCGACGAGTCCTCATGCTCTGTCCTCCCACTGAGCTTCTGCTTATCGTCTATAGACCGTTCAACTCCCAGAAGTTCATCTGCCTTGCTCATTGGTACATGGTCGCTGCTCTCTACAGCGTAGGTATTTATGCTCGTCTTAATTATCACCACTGGTGGCTTCTCTGGCAACACGTGCGGCGTGTCCAGGTACGCGCTCTCCAGTAGTTGCTTCGCGTAGACTTCATCCACTGTGAACTCCTCGTGAAGCGGCAGTTTTCGCTCTGGGGAGACTTCCGCTAGCAGGTCAATAGGTCTAGAAACGTGTACCCTTTGTAGAGTCGCTGAAACCAAGCAATATACACATTTGTGCCCGTGGTTCAAGCTTCTCCTTTCTTTGTCTTGTCTCAGGTGGTACTCGCACATACACAATGCAAGCCCAGGTTTGCAGGATACTCAAAGGAAGCTTCCGTCCGTACAGCATGTCGTATGACGACGCCATTTCCAACGTCTTGGTAGGCAGCATGTTTTGTGTAGTCACGACGTGCGGCAGGGCTTCACCCCACACCATGCTAGGGAGATATGGCGCTATCAGCAGCGCTCGCGCACGAGGCAACACAATCCAGTTTGCCCTTTCTGCACTCCCATTCGCTTGGGGAGAATACGCGTTCGTGAATGATGCCATGCTGAACGCAGTACTCATGCAGTTCGGCTCCAGCAAAACGCACCGCCTTGGTCCGACCGTAGATGCAACACCTTGTGGTGCGCCTCCAGCTCCTTTAGTAACTCCAAAATAAACCAAGTACCTTGAATCATCAGGTTTCAATAGGATAGCCCGCTTATGTCTCATAGCATCGTCTACAATGAACATGAGCATAGTGGCCTTGCTTGCCGCCTCCACATACACCGTACATATGCCCATGGCCAGAGTCTCAAGTTGTTTAGTCGAGCGGACAGGAAGTCGTGGCTTGCTCATTGGCTTAGCCTTGCTCACAACATAGGCAATGCATTCGTTGGTGTTCAGATCTTTCGTGTTGAGCTGTACCCCGAAATTCATATTATTTGCCATCACCTGAAGCACAGCCATGTGTAATGTCCAAAGCGCTGATACAACATCTCCAAAGTCTTTTGTCCTCTACAACTTGCTTAGCCATAGCTATGACCATCAGGATGGCTGTCGTTTTGCTTCGCAGCCGGTGGATGCTGTGACTTTTTGAACTTTAGGTAGTTCCCGGCTTAGACATCCACGCCGTCTTCTTGCGCATCTAACCCGAGCCCATCAGTCTGTAGTTGCCGGTAGTCTGCCGGTATCCCATACTAATCAGGTTCACCTAAGCACTCGGCGTGTAGACCACTTCTTCCAGTAGTCAATCCTCGAGCTCATTAGCTGCCTGATTGACAGCGCGCAGTAGGAAAGAGCCACTAACTAGCATGTACTCCGTATACCAGTAGCGAGGTCCCACCGGCTTGTATGGTGTCATAAACAGTGACAGGTCACCACAAATGCTGGCCTGTGATCCAGAGTCGATAATTTACTCATGAAAGCTTCCTCCAACAGGTTGCATATGCTCATCACGTCCGAAAGCAGTTACCGACAACGTCGGACCTTTGTCACAGCGTCTTGCCCATGGCCAGGCTCACCTCTTCGACCGGTAACACCATATTCACCAGTCGCAGTGCCCTAAGCAACGCAA